CACACAATAACATAAGGGTAATGTAAAAACATGCATTAGGGATGAAGATCCCTCTCTCCCCCTATGAAAGGATGAGCTGAGAGTGGATGGTGGGTGAGTGCTGCTAGCAAAGCAAACACTTCAGTATCTGTGGGTGAACATTTCATGCGTGCTCTTTATTATAAAGCCCACTGAAAACTTAAAGCTGCTTTCCTGAAGGAGCTGTTGTATAACTCTGACATCTGGGGTTTTCAGTCGCTGCCCTGTTTGAACTGGTTATGGAACACATTAAACCCAGAAGGCTCCACTTCAGCTGTTTACAAACCTTCCCCACACTCCTCCGCCATCCCAGCTTTTTCAACAGGCTCCAGTTCAGTCCTGGGGCTGGAGGCTTAGGCCTGGCTTTGTAAGATAAGCAATACCATGGACTGGAGCAGGAAGGAGGCCTTGTTGAAAACACACCACGTTCTCAAGAGCCTGGCAGCATCAGGACTGTTGTTTTCAGAAGTTTAATCCACTACTGTCCCTTTGGATCAACCCAAACAAGCTTCCATGACTACTAAAAGGTCCTTTGATTCCACATATAGGTATAACTATGTATGTGTACAACTGAGCATGCTTGGAACCATTCCCCACACATTCCTCGGTTTGTGTTTCATTATTATAGTCAGGGATCAGGCAGGCATGTCATGTTAATAGCATTATTAAAAAATCCAAATAAATAAATCCAAAAAAATCAATTCCTCTTTTCTGTTCACAGCTCATAGTCACACTTTGAACCTGTTGTCCAAAATAATTATGCGTTTTTCTGTGCAATTCTCCACATACACATAAGGTGCTCACAACAACTCAATGCAAATAACAGAACTTCAGCATTCTTATGGAGGGAACAGGCTGTCACAAAGTGTTTTGAAAGCTCAGACCACAGGGATTCAAAAAGCAACTAGATAATTTTGTAAAAGAAAAATACTGCAAATTTCTGTTAAACTCAAACTCTTTGGGATCAGGGTGTCGTAGAATCATAGAATCGTTTCACTTGAAAGGGACCTAAAAGATCACTTAATTCCAACCCCCTCTGCCATGGGCAGAGACACCTTTCACTAGGCTAGGTTCCTGAGAGAATTTTGTCCTTGAATTCCAAATCACTGAAAGCATGGTAAAAGTGCTGGGAAAATAATACTGTAAGTATTCCCTCTGCTTATGACCTACCTTAAGCATCAAGGTGAGTGTTGGAAAGGGGAGACTGTGTGAAACCCATGACTACCCATACCTTTTATATGACCCACTACTGCCTTTCTCGTGTTTCAGTGTCTCATAACATGGAAGTATCACTCTGCTTTGCTGATTTCATGGTTTGTGCAGCTATCTGCTACAGTAAAAAAAATCAAAGTATTGACAGATTATTTTTATGGTAGAAATTCCCTTTCATGAAACACTTGGAAAGCTTGCTTATCTTTGTGTAACCGTGGTATTTAAGCTGAATTTTTTTACGTTCCAGACTTGCCATGGGAGTTTGTGATAACAAAGAATATCGATAGGTTCAAAAAGCAGCTGCACACATTTCATGGACAACAGGTCCATAAATGGATAATAAGAGGAACGGACAGGAATGTTCCCTTGATATGCCTAATCCAAAAATTTTGATTCTGGGACAGAAGGAAGGAATGAACACCAGGATGTGAACAGGCTTATGTGTTCTCCCCAGGCAGCCACTCTGATTGCCGCAGACACAAGGACAGATAGCCCGAGCCAGCAGGCAGGTTATGGAATTCTTATCACCCCAACAATTACAAGAAGGGGACAGGACTACCTAAGATACTACTGCTTTCTCTTATATGCCTTGAATGCTGATTAAACTGAACGTGATCCAAGAGACAGAGCACAGAAGCAAGCAAATAATCTCAGCCGTGCTCGTCGTGCCGCGGGTACTGCTGGTCTGGTTCCATCAAGGTTCTGTTACTGCTTCTGATGGCAGGGAAGAGACAACAATTCTCCAACACTTCAAAACCCTCATGGATGTGTTATTGGTTCTTTCTGATGAGGTCAGAGCCACGAGCACTGGAGCTTCAAGGAGGAGGGTAGTTCAGTAGGCCAACATAGGCAGAAGGAAGCTCATCAAACTGACAGTGCTTCCAACTGAGGATAATTATGGAAGTGTTATTAGGATATTCAGTGCAGAAACAGCAGCTGGAATGCAGCACAGCACAAATACAGTACCACAGCTCCATGATACAGGCCAGCAATGATTTATGACTGTAGACAAAAGGAAAAAGAGATCTAAAGTTGTCTATGCAGGGAAATATTTCCAGATGCATGTTTTTGACTCCAAGGTTCTGAGAATGATCTGTATTGTTTTGGTTGGGTATAAGACTCCATGAAGTGTAAAGTGGGCACCCAAAATGGATATTACAAATAGTCTTAGTCAAGACAAAAGAGGAGAAATACATAAAAACTTATTATATCAGACATCACTAATCTTTGCACAATAAAAAACTGTGTTTAAGGAAGCAAACTTTCATATTTCTAAAAAATAATACCTGTGAACAGCAGGCAACATATAATCATCTCATTAACTAAGACTTACACTAGTGATACTACAGACAGGAAATTATGCAAATAATACACAGAAATGTATGAGCATATGTATAATATTGTGGTTAGCACAGCAATGGTAGACACTTGGGCCTGAGTCTTCATCTACCCTGAACAGAAAGGGTTGACTTCAGCTTAAGTAACTCTTCTCAAATTGACTTTAAGTAGGTCAGGTGGCAACAGTTGTGTAGCCACAGTGACCTGGATCTCAGCTGGAGAGGTACCAAACCTCTCTGGCAGCTGCACTATATTCTCTGCAGTTGCAGAGGGACACAAGCAGCTCGTCAAAAGCTAATTTGGGGAAAGCTACGTGAGCAGCAGTAACATCATGACAGCAGCAGAGCCCTGCCATGAGTGAAGTTTGGCACTGTGCTGCTCATTACTCTCCTGATGCTGAGTAAGAGGATACTTGAAACCAAACAAAACTGCCAGACAAAAAACTTTGGGCCTGCAAACGCCAGACCCGCAATGCATTTACGGACAAGGAGGATGAATGAAAATTTACCTGCAGATTTATAACTTACAACAAAGCCCAGAAGTTTCTGCTTAGACCACCAGCTCATCTCTGCAACTCTGTTGGACTTGACTCTGATTTCACTTCTGTCCATTTGGAGCAATAGAGTTATGCTGGCACAAAGTCAGAGCAAAGTCAGAATCAGGTGCTTCTTACTGCAGTGTCTACATGCTGATAGGATGTTATGAAACCACAATGCCACTCCAAAGTGGCACACAGCACAATGCTTGCTATATGAAATATGTTCTACAATAAGCTAACAATTGATAAAAACCTCTACAATGTTGCTGATTTTATCTGTAGAAAAGCCACTAAGAAGAATAACAATCCTGACGGGTTGATTCTTGAGTGATGTGAAGTATGTACAGGATGCTGGGCTTTTATTACCTAAGCACTAATGGCAATTTCAGAAAAGGAATTCAGGCAAAGTGGCACATAATAGGAGATCAGTTAGAAGAGTAATAAGTCATATTATAAGTCAGACAAGTGACTAACATTGATGGGAATAGAACCAGCCAGCTGGCTGCAGTCTTAAAGAAAATAGTTAGTACATTTACTGCATGAAAACAAAGAAGATATCAAGAGATTTGGGGGAACAAGCAGCATTTAAATCCTCAAGAGCAAAGTCTGTCACATGTTGTCACTCTCAGTTTCAGAGAACCCAAGAGATATGAAGAAGCTTCTGAAAAGTCAACCAGAACACCAATTGCAGTATCAAGATTGACCCAGGAATTTTGCCTCACTGGGGTGTGTGGGCACCTTACTTACCCCATGGCAGTGACATGAGTTTCCTGTTGGTGAGGAAAAGAGCTCAACAGTCTACCTTGTTTGACTTATGCCCTATAGCATAATACATACAGCTAATCATAACCTAATCATAAGAAAACACTCTTTTAAAGAAAAGAAGGGTTCCCCACAATGGCATGTCGAAGTCAGGCAGCAGAATTCTTCATCAAAATGCAGCTCTGCTGCTCCATTATAACAGAAACAACTGCTGGGTTCAGTCAATCTTTGCTATATAAGCACGCTTCTATTTTTGGCTTTGGGAAGAGCAACCAAATTTTTCTTAGTCATTTCACAGCTGATTTTTCCAATCCATAGCTGTCCTTTGGGAACACAACAACACAGCTGCCTTTTTATATGGGAAGAGGTATAAAGTAACCAATACCTCTCACATACAGCCCTCTATGGACTGGCTTTTGCAAACATAAGGCCACTTAGGAGCTTAAGTACCTTCTTTCATGAAGTATGTCCATGTCTACCGCTCAGACATAGCAAGTCCTGATCTACTGTAGGTTTACTCAGTGCATGTAATACTTCCCTGGGTCTACTGGAGTACGCCTGGCTTGTGAAGCAAGGATTTGGTTCATATGCACGGAAGTTCTGCCACTTGCTTGCTCCCTGCCTGCCTGAACAGCACCTGAAAAGCAGCTGGGAAGGGGCTATTTCACCAGCCTGAGGCCTCCTAGAGCACAGGTCCTGTATATATTTGTGTGTTTAATGCTCTCTAGTGATAAGATGCTTGATGCTGCCCTGCCATGCATTCATTATCTGTTTGGCCATCAGCACATTTCCAAACAGTTAACATCCAACTAACTGCAATTCAGGCCTTGGGATCACCCTCCCTGTAGAATGCAGAACATAATGACAAAACTTTCACGCTCTGTCCACTCTCCTCTGCTCTCTGCTTTACTTGCTAAGCATCAGTCTTACCACCATACTGAAATTATCCAAGCATAAAATTAAAATGACACACTTTAAACCATGTGTAGCAGTTTCCTATTCACTTTCTCAAATCCAAACATTATAATAATTGTCATTTATACAGTTAAAACAAATTCCAACCAAAGCAACACATTTCGGTCAACTCAAACCCAGAATGTGCACTAATGAGTTTATAATTCACAGAGATTACCTAGCAGGATTTTTTTTCCCCTCCTCCTTTCTTCTGCCCTTGCTCAGATTGGGAAGCAGGGAATTCCATTGCTGCAGGCAGCCTGGTCTCCAGCCTTCAAAGGGAGATCTGCAAGACAAGGGCTCTGTAAAGAAAAGATGCAGAATAAAGAAGACACAGGCATATAACAAATGCAGATTTACAGGAACATGTTAGAAGCTGAATTTCTGTCCCTGAGTTTATTTAAGGCCAAATAGTGAAAGCTTTTGAGCAAAGAGAAACCTTCACTGAAGCTATAAATGCCATTTCCCACGTGGATTTCACACAAATCATGAGAGAAGTTTTGAGCCACTCAAATCATTGTCATATAATTTAAATCATTCATTTATTACACCACTTATTTAGCAAGTCAGTCTTCACACTTTGCAAATAAAGAGCTTCTATTTAGCTCAAGTGGAAATGGATGGGTAGGAATTACTTGACAAATTTAGGAGAGCCAAAACCTGTACGGTGCCCGCTAAAAAGCAGTTTTCAGGGTATGACTGGGTGATATGAGCTCTCAGCTGGGGGCACAAGGAAGAGGCAGCTCCCAGAGCTCCATGTGAGTGTGGAGCCTGCAGGATGCCAGGTGGCATCGCAGGAGGCAGGATGATTTTGGCAAGTGTCATCTGGTGTGTAGTACCCGTAGCAATGGTTGTACAGGTGCTAATGAGAAAGTCTGTAAATGCTTAAAGGAAACAACATTTATGAATTTTAACCAGCTAATAAATCACGCCAGAGACCCTGACTAGGTACCTGGACAACTCATAAAAACTTCTGAAATGGAAGTATGGCATATATTACACATAGGTTTCATTAAAGTACCTGATACATAGATTCATACCTTTATATGTAAAAATGCATTTTTCAGTTAATGATAGAGGCTAACACTCTGGGAAGGTTTATGGGTACAATTATTATTGCTAGATTGATAATTTTCAATAATATCTAGCTTGTCCACAGCAGACAGGCCCTCTGGCAGAAAAAATGAAAGGCAAAATGCTGTTAGAAGATACAATTTCACTAGACAAGGTTATATAGCTCTAGTTTGCCTGGAAAAACCTGTAAAATGTGCATCTGGACTGTGCCACTGATACCTCTGCTCTATCATAACTGTTGAGATGGGAAGAGATGTTGCACTCTTAAAAAGTACAGGTGGGACGACAGAGAAAGTTCTGGTTCACCTTTTTTTTAAGGTCACAGTACATTAATTACGAGATGAGTAATTCAGTAATTATGTAGAAAGAAATGAAAATGGATGATCCTTTCAAGGACAGGCCATGCAAGGAATGACTGAGAGCAATTTTCATCTGTAAGCTCTTTACATGTTTACATGAAATAAATTGTTCCCTTTCCAAGGATGGGATGTTGCCATTCCAGAAATCCTCACAGCTGGCAATTTCAGTAGAGTTTAAAAATTAACTGTGTCCAGACCCCACCTTTATCTGCATAGAGATGCTTTTTTAGGGTCAGGTCTCATACACATCAGAAAGGTAGCACATGGAAATGTCTTGCAGTTGTGTATGCTATGCTTCTGTAGATATAGAAAAAGTCATGATTCAAAGCTGGTGTTCATTAAAACTTCTACAATTAGAAAATACAAATGTTTTCTTTATGTGTGTAATGTAATCTCTACACAGTGTAAATGCAGTAACAGTGAAGTGAAAGTTTCCAGCATATAATTTTCGTGTGTGAATTTTAAGTGCCTGGATACTATTCTGAATATTTGACTATTGTTTTCAAAAATCATCTGTGAAGATAGCTTAGCAAAGTGTCTGCAAGTAAAGCTGTTTCACTACAGTGCAGTATACCTCACTTTTTTCTAGCTGAAAAGATGAAAACAGTATAGGTTTACTGTGAAAGCACTGTATAAATGCTGAGAAGCTGCCTGTATAATTCGTATTTTTGTAACTCAGCGTGTTGACAGAGAATTCTTGATCTCAGAGGATATTCTTATTTGTGAGCTGGGGGGGGGGGGGTTATTGATCCTGCAGAACACATGAGAGCAGGTTTGGCCCCATAATAACCACTGCTCCACTGACTTCCCAAAGAGAAGTGGCCTGCATCCAAGCTGTTTGGAATGGCTGCACCCATGCAGGTGGTTGTAAGGACTCAGCCATGGGAGCAGAGGGAGTCAGCAGGAGAACAGGACACTCAGCCTAATACAGCTGCAGCTGGAGCTGGTAACATAAACATCTGGACTGTGTTGTACCATTGCTGCCTTGATGTGATCTGAACTCACAAAAAAGAAGGACCACTGCTGCCTGTGGCCACTGAGGTGGAGCAAGGAGATGTCCAAATTATCTTTAAGCGTGGCAGCTCAGGCACTCTGCTGTGACATTACCATGCAGAGGATCCAGAGTCTCAGCAGGATGATTTAATCTGCAAGGGCTCTGTGCTCCTGTCACTGTCAAACAGGCACGCCCCAACTATTTCTCCAGAACTTAGCCTCTTTTGTATTAATGGGTTTCACTGCCTGAGGTATTTTAATTGTGTTCTGTTGCCAAAGGCCTTATAATACCTCGATGATGTTTTATGTAGGAACAGAAGTTTCTGGTTGCTTGAAGCCTGAGATGACACCCTGAGTAATTGCACAGCTTAGGAAGATGATATTTGAGCATATGCCTGCCAATATCACATTTGCATTTGATAACCTCATAATTTCTATGAATAACCTAAGAACACAACAGAAATGCCCCAGTGGCTCTGATGCATTTATTTTTAAAGGCAATTAGCATATAGGCTTCCTGACACTCCCAGCTATCCAGCCAACACTTAATACAAATTAATTAGATGCTGATAAGGAATAAAAATAACTTGATGTGTGGCTGGTCTCCCCTGAATTGTCCTTCAGCAGTACCATTCTGCTAAGTGAGATTCCCATATCCACTGAAGCATGATCAGTTTGTGGCAGGGTAGTATTTGGTGAGGTGACAGTTTCAAATCATATCTTCTGCATTATTTTAATGCAGACAGCACACCAGCCTAGCTCACAGGATTGTCCCACAAACAGTTGTGCCAGCACAGCTTGGATGACAGGGACAAGGTCTGTGCCTAACATCTAATGCCACCTAACTTTCTGCACTGAAAAATTATGGCTATATTAGCACAGTTCTTAAGGAAGAAATACATTCAAAAGAAAGATTTAGAGGAGAATATGTTTCCCTGTGGGATTTTTTCCGGTTTTGGGAGAATGCTTGTTTTTCAGCATTGCCATCTTAAAAGTCTGAAATGGAAGATAAACCACGAATAAAATTATGCAGAAAATATTACTTACAGATCTTACAGATGAATGAAGATTCTTTAGTTCTCCCTTTCAGCCTTACTAGCACTGTTGAGTAAAACGTACTTTCCCCTCACATATGACATGGGCACAGTTATGCAGCTGAGCAGCATTCCTATTTAGATCAAGACTTCATCCAGTCCTGATAAAACTACTGTTAATTCATGCAATACAGATATTGATCTCATTGAAACCCATCTCATATGCTCATTATATTTATATTATATGTACAAAGTCAGCCACAAAAGCCAAAGGAATGCTGTATGGCAAGCTGAAATTTTATTATTTACAGAGGTTCTGCCACTATGTAATCTCAGTTTTCACCTCTCAAAAGGTTTTTGAAGGTATTTACGTGGGGGCACATACACATAAAAGGTGCTCAGATAGAAGAAACCTGGAAGTCTGGCTCAAGTCAGAAGTTTATCAGTTTAAACCCCCTCAAGATTTGATTCAGGCTTTGTGTTGTTCCACGTTTCCCACTGAAGTCAGTGTTCAGAGTCTGTCAGAGTTTGCAATGTTACCATGTGCCGCTTTAAAGATAGTCTGGTTGCCAGAAACAGTGAAGTATGTCTGCATGAAAGAAATAAACAGCAGGAGCAGAGGAACCCTTAACCCACGAAAGTTCGTAATTTTCACGAAAATGTACTTTGTAATTAAAAGCAAATGGAAATATATGATGAAAACTACGTGTTAACAGGACTGGCTCTTTTGAAATCAAATATTTTCCTGTTTTTTGAGGTTTTCCCCCCCCCCTGCTATTTACCAGCAACTTTAAATCAAAATTACTTAATTTAAAAATTATGTAGATGACTACGTGAATTAATCAATGTGAAAATAGGTGACATAGCTGAGGTAAAAATGCATTATTTGCTTAGTGAAGAGCATGTGACCAAAAAATGGAACAAACAGCGTTATAAAAACTGACATGATACTGTCAATTGACATCTGTAGAGTCTATTATTCTGCATTCAGCTAAATGCTACTTCATTTTTCTATTTCTTCCAACATTCAAACACCATATTACACTATTGTGCATTTCTCTTTTTCTGGCACAAAAAAATAACAACCACCATTAAAATACACACACAAATGAATCAAAGTTCCCATGCAGATTTACTTCATTGATACATTTTAAAGAATTCTCCTTAGCCTTGCACTTTAAATAAATCAGCCTTGCACTTTAAATAAATCTGCTGTTTCACTCTGCTTAGAGGTTGGGATGACTTTCCACATTACAAAACTTCTTACCTCTTTTTGAACTATTTCACCAGCATTAATCCTTCCTCTGTGGTTTTTAAATATTTCAGGATCTCATTAGCAGATTAAAAATGCGGCTGATTTTTAAGCAGCTGTGAAAACCGTGACATACAATCTCCTTCATCTTTTCTAATTTGATATGGAAGTTGCTCTTTGTGAAAAAAACACTGTGAAACCAGTGAATTTTCCTGTACTGGATCCAACAGCCATCTCGGTAAGGAGGGATTACTCATAAAAATCCAAGGCAGTAAAAATCACGTGACAAATAATTTTTTCGCATTATTTCAGCCTACCAAATTATTTTTACAACTAAACTTAGGAACAGAAGAACTGGCACTTCCAAAAAATTAGAAATGGGAAAACTTTACCAAAGCTTCTGTAGATGTATTCAGTTGGACTAAAAACCATTTACTATCAGTGCCAATCAAAGCCCATCATGTTTTTCTCATCTGGTGCATTACATTCAAATGAAAACTGGGGGTGTAATTAAGTGCAAAGCAACAGAAGACTTTCAAGCTTTGTCACCCATGAAGTGATCACCAAATGGTCTGCTGGTAACAAAATCTTTGCTCTTTCAGAACAGGGCTGGAGAGGGACTGTCCAAAACTGACCTATCTCTGCCCATCTCTTCTGAAACAAAGTCAACCTCTAAATAGTTATTCTAGTCCTTTAAAAAAAAAAAAAACAGATTTATTTTTCTAAAGGAAAGCAGGGGAACAAAAGGTGATAAATAATATTTAAAAAATATACTAAGTAGTAAAAAAACCCAAACTAATTCTTCTTGATCTGAAATGGCCATAATCTGGTGCTGCTGTCAAAAAACTTCAGGGTTTATAAATGCAAGTATACTAACTGACCAGAATTTAATTGTTAAGGTCTGTCTATAGCAAGGAAGTGTACAATATTAAAAAGGCATTTGTATCAGACCTATATATCCTCATGCCACATGTTTTACTGCATTATAGAACCAGAGAAGGGGAGGGGAAATGTTCATTTGAAAAGAAATAGTTAATGCTGGATGATATATGGAACAGACTATAAATACTACTAGTCAGATACCATTAAAATATGTAATTAGGAACAGCTTTCATAACACATTGAGAAGCTTAAATTTACAGAATTGTCCTAATTAAAAAATATTTTTCCATATGTGACCAATCCGTTGAATTTCAGTAGCCAATAAATCACTTCTTACCTTGCCAAATTATCAAAAGAGAAAAGAGGACTGTATCCTGTCTCCTGTTTTGATTCATTACTGGTTTATTTAACATTTCTTGTCAGAGTAAATGGCCTTCAGTAATACACATAACAGTTAAACAAATTGCAATTAAAATCCGATGATTTTGCCATAGGTCCTTAGCTTTGAGTTGTGTCCTTGGCCGAAAAGTTCTTCTGCGTAACTTGGAAAGCAATGGAGTGGTCTTATTAGCCCCACTAAAACTTGAAAATAATTTCCTCCTGTTAACAAGGAATTTCTTTATATTTAAATAGATACAATTAACATAATATTCACTGAAAAGTCTGTTTTAGAGAAGGCCAAGTCTAGTGCTATTTGAAATCTGTGCACATAATGAAGTGCAAACCCAGATAAATCAGCATTCCAAAAGGTGTATAAATTCATTTTAAAAAAATGCTGTGTTCTTTTATATGTCTTATAAAACAAGCCTATTTAAAATTATATTTAAAGCAGGACAATTACATTAAGCACTAAATTTACCACAACTTAATAAAATTCTCAAAACGTAATTTAGGTTTAATGTCTTAACCAGTTCATGTTTGTGCTGAAGTTTTAAAGCAGGCCAAATCACAAGATCAATGGGAAAAATCATTAAGTAGACTGCAAGTTTACTTAAGTTTTTCAGGTTTTGGCAGCAGCAGTTTCACTTTCAGGTGTAAAGAATATTCATTCAAAGAAATTATTTCAAAACCGATCACGCAATGTTATAAACTAATGGGTAAATAGATTCAGCAGAACTACTTTTCTTTTCTACTCTAAAAAACTGTTGTAAAATCTTGTCAATTCAAAAAATGGGCAAATATGGTAACCACAGTATGTGTGTTTACTAATCACGTGTAATGTTTCCTCTGGTGTTGATGCATCACAAACAAGTTGCAATTCAAGAACACTTTTTAAAGTTTGGCATAATTGGTGTTATTTTTTCAATATTTCTTCTATATTTTAATTGAATCCTCTTTTGTAGGAAGATGTAACTGGCTGGAAACTAAGTAAAGCTAATACTCTTTCAGTGTTAAATACTCTTATTGGTGATTCTCAATGGTGATTCACTGTTGTCTAATAAAATAAGAGACCAAAGGCATCTACTGTATTTCATAATTTCTGAAATAAATGTTCATAATATTTCCCATAGAATATCTTCATTGGGAGATTCAAGCTTTGTAGTCACTTGCAATCAACATTTTTAATGGCTGCCAAAAAGAGGAAGTTCATTCCCCTTTAGAGAGCTAATTAAACCAGTGCAAATGCAAGGCAAGTTTAGAACTATTATTTGATTTTAGTCCTCCTGATGGATTAGAATCATAAATAAAATCATCAATCAAGTTTAATAGTTGCAGCTTTTATTGCAATGAAAGCATTGTAGCTTGAGTCACAACTGAGATATTGCACTGGGAAGGACTCATATTTACAATTTATCTGAACCAAATCTCAACATTTAAGAAGCTGAAAGGGTCATACTAAAGATGGACAGAAGGGAATTTTGGTTTGGGAGCTACAGGGACAACATAAGGAATGTCTGGGGATGCCAAAGATGCTCAGCTTTTGATCTGATCTTAATTTTAATGAGAATCAAAATCATCTGCTTACTTTTTGAAGCAGGATCCACCCATGAAATCTCCAATGGATGAAACTACTGTCAAGATATAAAAATGTATATTCACAACATCAGCAATTTTAATACGTATCAGAGGAAAACATTTTGGTGGGAACTTTGTGAGGATAATCCCGGCAGGTGCAGAGCTGCTTTCAACCAAGGCCACTGCCAGTCCTCTTTGAGTCAAAGTCTGCATCGGTGACATTTCCACGCCGCAAACAATTTTAAAAATAAATCCAGCTACGTAATAAAACATCTCTTCATGCCCCCTCCCCACCACACCAGATCTGCTCCCCTCCCCTCATGGTTCCCATGGCAATGAATCATAGAATCATAGAATCATAGAATCAGCTGGGTTGGAAGGGAGCTCTGAGATCATCAAGTCCAACCCTTGATCCAACCCCGCCGTGGTTACCAGACCATAGCACTGATGCCACATCCAGTTTCATCTTAAAAACCTCCAGGGACAGAGAATCCACCACTTCCCTGGGCAGCCCATTACAATGGCTGATTACCCTCTCTGGAAAGAAATTCTTCCTAATATCCAACCTAAACCTCCCCTGGCACAGCTTAAGACCATGCCCTCTTTTCTTACTGATGGTTGCCTGGGAGAAGAGACCAACCCCCACCTGGCTACAGCCTCCTGTCAGGGAGTTGTAGGGAGTGAGGAGGTCTCCCCTGAGCCTCCTCTTCTCCAGGCTGAACAGCCCCAGCTCCCTCAGCCTCTCCTCATAGGACTTGCGCTCCAGTCCCTTCCCCAGCCTTGTTGCTCTCCTCTGGACCTGCTCCAGGACCTCAATGTCCTTCCTGAACTGAGGGGCCCAGAACTGGACACAGCACTTGAGGTGTGGCCTCACCAGTGCTGAGTACAGGGGAAAACCACCTTCACCTGCCGTTTCGTAGCACACCCCCCCTTGTGCCACCCCCGCCCTGGCACACCCCAAACACACCGAGTGTGGGAACTCTGGCAGTTCTGCTCACGCTGCTAAAATTAACAGCCTGGGGGCCGGGGGGATGTAAACTCAAACCTCCTCTCTCAGATGTTTGTCACCCACAGCCCTCCCGCTGCTTGAACAAACAAACAAATGCAAGAAATGCCAAACGTTTGTGTGTCACGAAGTTACTTCTTCGCGTAACCATGGCAAAGTGTGGGCAGCTCAGCAAAACTGTGATCGTTCTGAATGGTTTAAAATATTCCTGTTGTCATCAGAGAGTCCAACGGATGGCCAAATAGGGTTTAGAGCAACTGTGTGATTCAGGATTAGAGACCAAACTGGGGTTGGTATTTCTGTTTGCGTTGGACCTTGTCAATCTAATGAGAAAATTCAAAATTAGATTTAATTTTTAGACATGACTCCTTTCCCTTTATCCCCCCCTCACAAAGTTCTAGGCACCCAGGAACATCAAATCAAAGCAAAAGGGACACCATGCAGGTCCATTTGCCCCCTTTTTAAATGTGGGTCAGTAGCAAGGCATCACTGGCAGCCTGTGGGCTCCTTGGGCATTTCTACATAACTGAGGCAATGATATGACACATTTGGGAAAATGTTCCTATGAAGATTTTGCTGGTTAGCACCTATTAGTGCTAGTAAGTGTACTGGTAAACTAACAATGCAATACAAGTGAAAGTTTTAATAGGAGCTTGAAAATACCTTAGTAGCTCATCTCAGCCATGATTTATCTATACTATTACTATTTTAATAAGTATCTCCACACCAGCTGATAACTTTCACATGTTTTTTCCCCCTTTCAACCTGACCAAGGTTATTGCAAACTGCTTTATTTTTTTTTTCTTTTTTTAAATCCGTTTAACCTAAAATTAATCCTGTTACAGCTGCAAAGCCACATCAGCAAAGCAGATAGCTATGCAACTCTGCAGCCCAGGAGACAGAACTTACATTGATGGACCTGAGGGTTCTTTGGGGTTTTTTTGACAGGAAGATGAGTAAAGCAGAGACACAGGTGCCTGCTGCCACTTGAGAAAGTTGTGGTCTTTCTCCCAACTCTATTGAGTCACACTGAATTGAGGATTTGGACATTTGGTTGTGTGGGCCCTGTTCAACAGCATTCTGAGAAGCAAAAGTGGCTGAATGGCATCCATATGGTTGACAGGTTGCTATGCTGAGTAACCAGGTAAACATTTTGGCAGCAGAGAAGGGCGAGAAATATATTTTGAATATAATTCTTTTCCCTTAGAGGAGTAGGTAGATATCAACAATACCATATATTCATCTGGTGGAGAATAACTAC